TTTCGAATTGTTACACTCAACCAGGCAAATGCCTACACAGCACGATTATTTTTACATTGGCAAAAAAAGTGTTACGATATTTGCAGAAAGCGTTATTCCACATTGCAGATTTTATTGCCGATGTTTATAGGGGCATAAAAAAGTAAATATAGAGAACGGAATGCCGATATACCAGGCCAAGCCAATATAACACAGCAGCTAACTGATAATAATAATATTAATATCGGTATTTTCATTTTCCATCAAGTTTTAAAGTGTGACATCATTTATGGAGTTATCAGGCACTTGTTTTTTAAGCCGATATATGCATCTAGTTAAACCACTGTTTTTAAATAAATAAAATTAAATGTTAAAATATTTCGTATTTAGACTTAAATTTGAATTGTCAAAGACTTTTTCATTACAGTGTTAATTTGTCAAATTTTTCTGTAAAATCGAAATTTCTTCGTTTAAAATGGACTAACAAGCGTTTTGATTCGATTTAGAAGCAGTTTTCTTACATTGAAAATAAAGAGAATGTTTTATGGATACTCCACCCGAAATTGGTAATGATTTATGGGCAAATACGCTAAATAAGTTTCGCTAGTAGCGCCACCACTCGGTTGTTATCATCGTAACAAAGGTATAACTTTTAATAATTAGCTGTCAAACGCTTATGTTACAATCGAGTGTTTTTGAGAATAAAGCCGGAAAATGTTAAAAAACATCGAAAAAACCGTGGATCGATTTGTTGTGTTGTTGGGTGTATTTCGAGAGGAAATCCTGGGTTGAGTTTTTACCGGTTTTCCAATAAACAGTGTTAATCTGAATGAAGAAATAAATTGAATACAGTCTCTGTAAATATAAATTGTACCTATTAAAAGTGTAAACATTTCAATTCAGTAAAAATCGTCAAACAAATAAGTCGTCTAAATTTAAACAGCATTTAGCATTATTAAAAGTTTGATTAAGAAAGTCTCCACTCAACGGTAAAACACCATTATATTATGTATTAAATATAATATTATGTTGCCAAGAATTCGTAGGTATATTTTTTGTTATCATTAGTTAATTCTGCACCAACAAATGTAGGTACTTACAGAATTGGATCCTTTGGCAAAACATGAAAATGCAACGTGACTAAAGTAGAAAAATAAGTATAAAATGCCCTTTTAAGATAATTATTAATGGTCAATTTGTAATAGCCATTTTCTGATGAAAATAGCATGTCATCTATCTCTAACTGATTGATGGGTTCTTATCAACTGCGTAATTAAATTTACATAAACTTCTCAGTGGTTAATTGCATATTTGATTTATTACCAATTATAAATTTTAGCTCACTTACTTCGCATACATTGTTGCAAACAACTTAATTTTTTTCTAAATAATGTCTTCAAAATTTAATATACACTCACAGGCAAAATAATCGATCCACACAAATTTTCGATGAATTTCAATCGCAAATAACTTTTTTATTTGATTTCGGATTTAAACAAATATTAAAGAATATTGTAGATACATTAATGGAGAATCGCTCACATTTTAAAAATTACTAAAAAATACACGTACGTTTATAATATACAGGTTTAAACAAAAAGATGTTTTTTACCATAAGTTTAAGACACTCCGTATATTGTTCTAAATTAAGTTTTAATTATCAAGTTACATCTATTTTTAACAGTTTTGTTTTTGGTTTACCTTGATATATTTATTTTTGTGGAAAATATGGATTTAAAAAAAAAACATTGCAATTTCCAATATTTTTCCTGTATGAAAAACTAAGGTTGCTATGGTCCATCCATAGCCTATGGAGGATGACAGTGACAGTTTTGTTGAATCACCCCATACTTGAACATGTCATATCCTGGTTTCAAAAGCTATCAAATTGTTTTTTGTAAATTAATGTGTTAATTTGGAGGTGTCTTCTTACTTCTAAAAATGTCTCCGACTGATGTTGCCCTTTGTACTTTACTTCTTGTGATGTTTAAAACACTTGCCACGTAATACTGTGACCGTCCATCCTGGATTAAATTAATGGCTCTGGCAACATCAGTCAAAGACATATCCATTTTTTAAAGTAAGAAGACACCTCAAAATTTAAACATTAATTTGCAAAAAAACAATTTGATAGCTTTTGAAAGCTGTGTATGACATGTCAAAGTATGGGATGATTCAACAAAACTGTCACTGTCATTCTCCATAGCCTATGGATGGACCATAGCAACCTTAGTTCTTCATACAGAAAAATATTGGAAATAGCAATGTTTTTTTTTTTAAATCCATATTTTCCACAAAAATAAATATATCGAGGTGAACCAAAAACAAAACTGTTAAGAATAGATGCGAGTTATTTGCAAATAAAATTCATCGAAAATTTGTGTGGATCGATTATTTTGCCTGTGAGTGTATAAAAAAATATAATTTTGACAAACTGACACCTACATTTTGAAAGCAGATAAAACAGATTACTAACTTTTCTAGAGACTCATTTTATTACACTCGCTCGTGACTAATTAAAATTCGTCGCTAAAATGGCGTTTATCAAACTTAATATACTATTTTCATGAAAATTCCAATTAAATAATTATTTACTAACCTATTCAAATTGCATCACCCAGTTGGGCGCCAAAATGCCCAAAGGGTTTAGTAGTTTTTTTTCAGGCGAACCCAAACGACATTGAAATACCGTTTAAACTCGTTTGCAGTTAAATATGGACATTCACTCTCATATTTTTATGATAAAGAGATTGTTGTGCACCATATTAAAAGCAACTCAAATAATTTGTTCTTTATATGGTGCTTATATTTGTTTGGTATTTGAATTAATTATAACCGTTTCTATATGGTATTTATTACGTAATAACGCAGTGCAGTCAAAGATAACAAACGGTAATTTACCGCCTGTTTCTTATTACAGTTATAAGAAGATTATTATGAAGTTTTACTTCTTTATAATAACCAGATGAACAATCATGGAGCATTTACTACGGAAACGGAAAACAATCCAACTAAGTATAACAGTATGTCGTAAATTATACACAATAACTCTTAGGCAACCAACATTACACTATGCACCCAGAGAACCATGTTTTGGGAAAGAAATTAGTCAACTTTTTCCCAACCAAGTTTGGTGTAAGATATTTTACATTTATTGTGGTTTATTTTGGCTTTAAATTTTGATTAAGTAAGTAATTAAGGTTATGTTTTCAAGTTTTTTAATAAATAATGTTATACCCTCGTTAATTTTAAAGTAATATAGTGTTTAGCCAAAACGGTTTTATAACGGTATAGATACGAAAAATTACAAAATTTGGGCAATGGTTTATTTAATTATTTTACCTACATACCTTTTTGATCTACTAAGAGAATAACGTAATAAAAACAATATAAATAACACAAATTTACGTAAAAATAACGCTATAATTACTAACTGTTTGCTCTCTCTTTCTAAAACATTGACATTCGTAATTTCTTTGTTCTTTTAATTTATATTTTACAAAATGGTACTTGCAAAGTAATAAAGGCCACCCCAGAGTAAAATTAAAAAATACAACTTAAGTTGTCAAAACTAACAATATTTTGCATCAAAACTGAAACGCACATTATTTTATTGATAAAAATAGGCACGATACATCTTAAAAATTATATGCCCTCTAAAAATTTTACGGTTTTAAGAAAAATTATTGCTTGGGTAAAAATTCAACAAATATATTATAAAATCTTTTTAAAATCAGTTAGTTTTAATAACTAAAACTTTCCTTATTATATTTAAGAAAAATATTTATGAAAAAATATTACATAAATGTTTAGTCAATATTAATATTATTTATTACCACTAATAATCCTACAAAGGCTACCAGGCGAATAGGAATTATTTACGGTTATGTAGTGGTCTTAATGTCGTAAAATTATGTCGTAAAATTATGACTTATGAGTAACATTTACCATTAAGTAAAAATTCTGACGTTAAAATTACCGTTAAATTTTCCTTTAGGTGAAATACACTTATAAGTAATTTTCTTTCGTAAAAATTACATCCCTCATAATACTTTAAAGTGTTGAAACTTAAGGGTTATTAAAATAGGTAAAAATAACATATATAAAACTTTAAAAAATTTTAAGGTTCTTCAAACCATACAAAGTTACCAATCACAAACAATTTTACAATAAGTTCTTAATGTTTAATAAAACAATTCTTGATAGCCTTACCGTAATTTTATTTGTCTCATATAACACCAGAGGTCCTTTGACGTGGTCTTGGACAACGCGAAGCAACGTGACAGAAATCAAAGAAAAGCCTTATTATATAAAACAAATTAAAAAACTTTTCTTGGGATTCTTCATAAAAAACAATACGCTGAATCCGAAATTGTCGTCAAAAGTTATAAAAGTAGAACAGTTTTTGAAATATAATCAATTTTACATATAATATGGAATTGACTATATCTCAAAAACTGATTAATTTTTTAGGATTCAGGGGACAATTTTACATAAGAATTGACTGGGATATATATAGAGTATGATATTGGACATAATATGTCCAATAATAGAAATTTACATTTTTTACCAACCAGTAATTGGACACTGGTCATTTTACTGTTTGTTTTCAGAATTAAAATTAAAACTTTTTTGTCCTATATTGGACCCAAAATAAAGTAGTTCTATATTATTACCGACTGAGATAGTTATAAATTATAACTTATAATTGTATACAGTGTCATCTAATGATTTGAATTTAAGGTAACCATTTATAGAACTCTTATTTTTACAATATTAATGTTAATTGTCCAATAACTATAAAGTGTCCCATAGCTGTCTACTTTACCTACAATAATTGTTTTTAGTAGGTACTTAATATTCTTTCAAATATTTACCAACATCAAGTCATTGGTCAATTTTTCAAAAGCCAAAATAAACATCAAAAATTTGTCATCGTTTTTCCATGCCCAAACTTTCCCAAAATTAAACCAAATTGCTTTTGCAAAAAATATGGGAGTATTAAGTTCTGTATTGTACATTTATTGGCAAAAGTTTTGACCTGATATGGTTCTCTGGGTAATGCTAGCTAACCCTCCACCAAAAGCAACGCCATGCAGTGTTAGAAGTTTGATATTTTCCGCAGTAAACAAACTTACCGAATTGTTTCCAGATCTTGGAGACCTGACGTCAGGTTCGCTCTGAGCGATGTTCCTCCTATTTTCGCTCCAACAAATTTCCTGCAAGCTACCGTAACCGAACCGCTCGACCGTATCCAAGTTGTTGAGCTCTTCGCACGAAAAATTCGGTTTCGCCACGCCGTACACTTTGGGACTCAACTTGTAGTTCATGACGTTCTCGTTGTACTTGTCCAGGCCGTCCACGCTGCTTATCTTCAGCTGCCTTTTGGCCTTCCTCTCGAAGAACTTGGTCGAAGGGGTTTTGAAAACGTGCACCAGATTCCCGAACTCGAAGCTTTTGGAGCTGTGCACGGATATGTTGTCCATGGAACTTTTAAAGTCGCATTCTGAGTGCAGAGAAACGCTTTCGCAGGATTTTTTCACCGGAGTTCCTTCGACGTCTACAGAACGTTCGTTGTAAGTCATATCGGCAGTTCTAGTGTTGTCATCCGAACTTACAATACTTAGAGGCGACTGACAACGAGATTTTTTCGAACCATCCGGTAGAGCTCTGCAGTTTAACCGGCTAAAATCCGTGTTGTATTGAACTTCCTCATCGTTATTTTGCTTGAGGAAATAGTCGTTTTTAGTGAAGGAATCGGATTTCTCTATGATGTTCTTTATGTTGCCCTCGCAGGCCCTAATGTTGTTCAAATTGTTCAACTGTTTCATATCGTTGTTTTTATCATTGCTACCGCCGGCTTTGGACAAATTATTCGGGTGCTCCAACACCAGATTGTTGTGGCACCTCTCGTAGTTCTGACCCTGGTCGTTGTTCAAAGGAACATCCAACCCTTCCAGAGACAAATTCGACGCGTCTATCCCCACAGGTCTGTTATTGTTGTTGTTGTTATTCAAAACGGGCAAAACTCGATGCAACGGGAACTCCACCACCAAAATTCTGTCGCTTATGTTCCCGCAATCGTCCCGAAACCCGATCCCGGAGTCCGAGTTGCTAGAGGCGCTGGGTTGGGGCGAGTTGGCCACCAAGGGGCCCAGATTCGGGTCGTCGTGCTTGTTGCGCACGTGATCGTTGTTTTGCAGTTTGTACATGTTTTGCACCAGGCTCACTATGTAGAGGGCGTTCCTGGGGAACTCCAAGCAGTTGCCCGTGATCAAGTCGGTGGTGCAGTTGATGTTGAAGTTTTCCGCTTTTTTTACGTGAACGGTGTGGTCCACTATTTTGGGGTCGGTTACGAATACGTGGCAGCTGTTTGAAGCTTCCACTGTTATCTGAAAATAAGTTATATGTTTATTAGGGTGGCCCAAAAAAAAGAATATTTTTTTAATTCTCGTCTCTTGTGAAAATATGTTGGTTTGTCATGTTTTAAGAGCCCTGGTAAAAAGATCAGCTCGATTAAAAATTTTGTAGGGGTCGCTCAAGATTTTTAAAAATTTTCAAAATCGTCAAAAATTGAATTTTTGTTTTATTTTAATTCTTTTTCTCGTTTCGATATTATTTTTTAGGTTGAAAATAATAAAAATTCTGTAAATTTCAAATCAATATTTTGATTTCTAAAGGTCGCTAAAAGTTCGTTGATATTTATATTCAGAGGTCGCTCGAAAACATTCAAAATACTCTACTTTGAAAGTTAAAAAAATCTTGAGCGACCTTTAGAAATTAAAATATCGATTTGAAATTTTCAGAATCATTATTATTTTTAAATTAAAAAATGATATCGGAACGAGAAAAAAAATTAAAATAAAAAAAAATCCAATTTTTGACGATTTTGGTAATTTTTAAAAATCTTGAGCGACCCCTAAAAAATTTTTAATGGTGCTGATCTTTTGAGAGGGCTCTTAAAACATGACAAACCAACATATTTTCACAAGAGACAAGAAGAAAAAAAATATTTTTTTTTTTGGGCCACCCTAATGTTTATATGTACATTGTGTTCCATAATTTATAAAGGCATCATTTTTTGTTTCTGATTTTACAAGCATTATAGACTTTATAATATACAGAGTGTCTTGGTAGGTTTTACTCATTTGTTTGTGCAATTTAGCTGGGGAAAAATTAAATATGTTTACGATAAATTTTTTCCAAGTAACAATAATTGCGGAGCATCCGTGCAAAACCGGGTAAATCCATTTTATTCAGTTTTTGGTTTTTTTTCCTGATTTCGCATCTTTGGGTTCATTTCTATCGACAACCAAGATAATTCTGTTTAAATCCGACTATATCCATGTTAAAATCACATTTAAAAGGTTTAGGAGCACAACCGGCCAAATCCACGTTTTTATAGCAAACCCGGCTATATCCAATAAATAATAATGATGATGAGTATATGGATATGTCGATACTACTACTAAAATTTGTTCTGTTTTTTCATGTTTGCACTAAATTTATTTTGTTAATATTTTTGACGATTTTTGAATAATAAAGGTTTTTTTCACATTTTATTCGGTTTTAGAGCAAAATCGGCTATATACAAAACATTTTTTGAAATTTTGGCCTTAATATAAAGTTTTTGAAAACGAAAGTATGTCTTATAAGTACCACAAAGCCCACAAAAATCAAGTTTGCTTTTTCTTTTATCTGTAAAGGCCAGGAAACCGAGAGTTTTTGCCATTTTCCCAACATTTTATTAAAGTGGATATAGCAGGTTTTGCACGGATGCTCCTCAATTGGTATCTAATAATATGGTAACACATTTCAATTAATTAGAGAAAATAATTTGCAAATCAGTCCAGGTGGGTTATTAAACATTTACGGTTTAGTTTTGAAAAAAAGCTAGGAAGCGAGAAATGACATCATAAGTAGGGTTTTAAAGTGTAAAAAAAAAAGAAAAATTGGGAAACTGTTTCTTTCGTTTTTTTCCAGGGATTGGAAAAATTGTTTTTTTTGGGGAAAAATGTTTTTTTTTTTTGGAAAATATACCCATTTCAAAAAGTAGCAATCAACAACTTAACATTATTTTAATTAAAAAAAAAAATAAAACTATACATGGAATTAAATTAATCTGATTTAAGAACATAAACGTGAAATATCCTCAAAAATATCTAATTACAAAATAATTAATGATTTATACCTAAGGTTTAATGAAAAAATTATAATTTTATAAATCGTCAAATAAAACGAGTATATTTTTTTGCGACCCGGTAGAATATTCTCACTGTATTAAAATAAAAGGAATAGGCACACTCCACACAGGTCTGTTCTATCTCATGATAAAAATACTAAAAATCACTACAACACTGCAAAGAGTTTAACGGCGGCCATTTTTATTGTTTACAATTCTTGTGCTTTGGGTTTGTGCTGTTTAATAATTGTTTTAAACGTTGTGTTTCTTACAGAGGCACTTGTAAGCCTCAAATAAGACCTTAAAGTGCTCCTCTTGTATAATAAATATACCTTATTCTATCCGGGCTGTCAAATGACAATTTGAAGGTTAATTTGTGGGTTATAATTTAACCTTAAAATTGACATTTGACAGTTTTATGACAGCCCTTATAGAATAAAGTTTATTTTTTACAATATAAGAGTAAAATGGTTGTTCTTAGCACTTTAAGGGCTCTTTAAAGGCTTACTATGAGAAACACAACGTTTAAAACGATTATTAATCTGTATAAACAGAGCAGAAACCCAAAGCACAAAAATTGTAAACAACTAAAATGGCTGCCGTTAAACTGTGCAGTGTTGCAGTGATTTTTTTGTATTTTTAGTACGAGATAGAACAGACCTTGTTGTGTGGATTGTGGGAATAGGTAATTAATATAATTATATAATAATATAATATTATGATTATATTCTGCGTAGAAAATTCAGTTTTTTCTTGATATTAGTGCGAGGATAACATCCGTAAAAATTTGTAAATTTTCAGAAAAATTGACTTTTGCATTTTTTCGTATTATCCTTTAAAAAAATGAAAAATTGCATTTGTCTGAAAATTTCACAAATTTTCCGTTTTTTTCCGGAAAAAACGATTTTTTTCCGCCGGCTTAATTTTTCTGGAAATTTTAAAATCCTAATCATTTTTAATAAACTTTAATACAAATAATTGAGGTTATGTATTTGTCAGTTTAACGCTAATTTCGTTTTATTTGCTCAAAATAAGACTAAATTAAACAGATACATAACCTCAATTAATTACATTTAAATGTCAAAGTGTGAGTTTTGGGCAGGGTTACCGGTTTCTCTCAAGAAAAATCTGGACATTTTGTGTGAATTAACCTTAATTACAAACATGACACAATCAACAATAATTAAGTAACGTCAAACTTACAATTTGCATTGAATCCGAGATTAAATCATTATGTCAATTTTGTTATTAAGATAAATTCATAAAAATGTAAAAAGTTGTAAATTTTCAGAAAAGTTGACTTTTGCATTTTTTTGTATTATATAAATGAAAAAATGCAAGTCAATTTTTTTCCGCCGGCTCAATTTTAAATCTTTTTTACTAAATTTTAATACAAATAATTAAGGTTATGTATTTGTCAGTTTAACGCTTATTTCGTCTTATTTTCTTAAAATAAGACTAAATTAAACAGATACATAACCTCAATTAATTACATTTAAATGTCAAAGTGTTACTTTTGAGCAGGGTTCCCGGATTCTGTAAAAAAAAATCGGGGATCGGGACACAATCAACAATAATTAAATATGTTCTGTGTAAGTATCATCAAACTTACAATTTGCATTGAATCATTATGTCAATTTTGTAATTAAGATAAATTTATACAAAATTTTTTTGACAGAATATATTAAATATAGTTTAAATTCTATTTACCTTTTTCTCATCATTTTGCCACAAATTTACTTCTCCATATCTCTTCTGCAAACTATCATTGTTTCTTGTGTCACAAACAGCACTGGTTACCAAGCCAAAATAACGAGACTCTCTATCTGTTGTCGAACCAACATACACCACTCGATTGGTAGGATAAATAGCCAAAATGTTATTTGAAGAGTTTTTTAAAGTTAAACAAGTCGGTAATATAGTCATTAATACTGCTGTGGGGGTGCGTTTTTCTTGCCTTAACTTACGAATGCAACTGCACACCGTTTGTAGTCTGGAGTTTGGTAGCAGTTGTTTTGGCATTTCGATTGTTCCTAAATAACCTACAAGGGCTTTATATTCAATAGGGCCTGCTTCATCTTCCATAGGCACGGGATTTGAATTATTAAGGTTTTCATGTTGCGGTTCTTCATTGTAAATATTAGGCCCTGGAATGCATAGTTTGTTTAGGTTAATTGGTTCCACAGCTCTTCGAGTGTCACTTTTATATGTTCTATGCGATCTAGGTTTATACATATATTTAGGTTTTCTGCTGTTTATCATTCTACCACAATCTAGCTCCTCGTCACTGCTGTCAGAGTAATAGTTTTCTGCGATAGTCATTTTTATAGGGCCTATGCATTGGCCAATAAGATTGACAACAGCGTCGTGGGCTATTTTGGAGACAGACGCGCCGTTTACCGAAATCAGGAAGTCTCCTGCCCTTAATCCCGCCTGGTCGGCTGGCGAATTATTCACGATGCAAGACAAAATGCACGGCTGTTGACCAGAAATAGTGAAACCGAATCCGTTAGGGCCTCGCATCACTTCGACAGTCCTTATGCCGTAGTTGGGGCGCTTTTTCCTCCGCCTGCTCGGATTCATCGCGGATTTAGGTTAACAAAAACAAAAGATAACGAGCACGACAAACAAACACAAACACTGTGATATCGGGGCGCATATCACGAACACGTCATTTGAGGTTGTTGATTTCTACAATTTTTAAATGGCTGTTTGGAATTTGGTTGTTTGGACCTCTAGCGGAAAATAGCCGAACCAAGATCGCAATCCCATCGTTCTTCCCACTAGCGGAGAAATGCGTCCTACATTCTGCAGACTGGTTTCTATAGATGGAGGCAGAGGTGTGCACACGGGTCGGCCAATAATTATAAAACATTTATTTTGCCACCAAATAAAGAAAAAATAATGCAGGTAAATATCTTTTCCTCAAATTATTATTTTATTTGCCATAATTCAAGTCTTTAGTTAGTTTTCATAGAATTTCTTCAGAATTTTACAAATAATTTCATATTTTTTTTACAGTTGGTACAGATTCCAAGAAAATAAATTTTCTTATCTTACAGTTTTAAACCTTAATTTTTCCATTATAACATCAAATTATCAATGAATATTGTTGTTTATTTATTTCTTATGTTTTTTTTTGGGTTTTAATTTGGAATAAAGTATTGATTAATTAAAATACAACATTTAATTTTTACTACCTTGGTACCATAGATTAGATTGGCACCGCTGAATTTGCTACCACGGCCTACTATTATTTAAAGTTGGATTTTAGTTATTTTCTTTTAAAGATTATAAGAATTTTTTTTTAAACTAAAGTGATTTTGTTATTTATAAAAACCTTAATCAAATACGGTAAAGACTTGTCCATGAACCTGCAGGATATAAAGTTAAAAAGTTTGACCACCCTTTTCTTCTGCTATATAAAATCGGAACCAAAATCTGATGTAGAAAAGTATAATGCACATCATGTAATTGTCTATGGTATAATGATAATACCTACGTAGTACTATTATAGTACTACGTAGGTACGCCTATGAGTGATAAATTTAAATTATTGTTCTATAAATACCTATCTATTTCTTTATCTTTTTTACAATAAATAAGACTGATATATATTTATATAAAAACTGATTTACCTACTTTTTTATAAAAACAATAATTAAAACCATATTGCAATATGGTTTTAATTTGCAACAATGTGAAAAGTGAAAGGCATAGGTATCAAAACTGGCGCTCAATTATTTAATTTACGTAACTTTGTAAATTTACTGCTAGGTACTTAAATTCGAACAAATTTTTTTCGATAATATTTCAAGGGAAATTAATTCTACTATGTAGTAGGTATACCTACCTATGTTAAAAGATTGATTTTTGATTTTTTTATTAATTTTAAAATACAAAGTTTAAGTTTTTAACATATTATGTCATTACATTTCACCGTGTATCGCTACTAGCGATTCGCTAGTAGCGCCACCACTCGGCTGTTATCATCGTAACAAAAGTACGACTTTTAATAATCTGCTGTCAAACGCTTATGTTACAAACGAGTTTTTTTTTGAGAATAAAGCCGGAAAATGTTAAAAAATATCTGAAAAAAAAACCGTGGCTCGATTTGTTGTGTTGTTGGGTGTATTTCGAGAGGAAATCCTGGGTTGAGTTTTTACCGGTTTTCCAATAAACAGTGTTGATCTGAATGAAGAAATAAATTGCATACAGTCCCAGTAAATATAAATTGTACCTATTACCCACTAAGCAAGAATCATTTAAATAACGTTAAAAACGTTATTTTATAGTGAAAAAACAAACGTTTCCACTTAAACATTGAAAGAATGTTGAACTGATGTCTTCCAAATTAATATAATATTGTATATATCACGTAAACAATACTGCGCGGTTGCTAGATAAACGTTTGGCTAAAGATGTTATTTAAACTTTCTTTTTGTTTTGTTAAGGTAATGTGAATAAAATAAACAGTGCCTAAACGTTTCGTTTTCAACGTTCACGTTTTGACGGTACATGAACAATTGTATTTATTGTTAAAACAATGCAACCAATAAGAACATTATATAAATGGATTCTTTATAACGTTTACATATTTAGTATTAAACAAACGTTAAATTTGTATCAATAAGGTAATTTAAAACTTAAACGATTGCCTTTACGATTGCCTTTATTTTGAATTTATATATAATTTTTTATAAATAATGACCCCTATAGGGGTCACCACACCTATAGGTGCTTATCTACCTTATCTACACACTGCATAAAGATCAACTATAGAATTTACGTACTTTTATTTATAAATAAATGAACGTAAACGCAGACATAACGAAAACGAAACGATATAGGTCAACTTTTATTTTTTCCATTCCGTTTCTTCCTTTGGCCAATCAAAAGAGAGAATTATGTGTGCACAGCGGGTTGTCTCACTATGCTGTCACAGACAAAATAGTACAAAGAACTCATCTTCCTGGCACCCGTCCATTACAATAATTATTATAACTTTATTTTATCTCGATGACTAAATACCACATATCTCTAAATATGTGCTAAATACCTATCTCTGATACCTATGGTACTTAACTTTAGGTTGGTAATATAACCTTAAGGTTGTCGAAACTGCTAAAGTTACTAGATTATTGATCACGATGAAGCACGACTTTTACCGAATTGACCGGTCGTCACCATCTCCACATGTTCTTTGTTTCAAACGTGTGAATTAGTGATGTAAATATTCGTATCTTTTTGATATTCGGATAATACGTATTCGGAACCAAGAGATATTCGGATTCACTGTCCGGATACGTATCTATTATCTATAAGCATATAAGTTAAATCATAAAATGCGCAACGTGCAAGCGGGTGGCATGGCGTAAGGAATGCAAAGAGGAGTGGGGTTTGTTCTGTGGAGTAGAGTGGAGTGTCTGGTACTTTTTAACAAAACAAAGAGTTTAAGTTTAAGTTGATTTTTTTTTAATTACTACGGTAAACACCTACTAGTTAACCAAATAATGTTATCCTTGTTTTATTTTTTATATTTTAAAGTTATGCCTTGATTGTCTGGTAATTTTAAATAGATAAAAACAATATTTTTATAAATCATGTCTTTATTTTTTAAATAAGCATCGTACGCCTATGGTATCGTAAGTAGCGGACTCAGACCAAGCGCCTTTCCCGCGATTCCGAATGCGCCGGTTGTAACCATCCGCACTCGGCTTTTCATAGCGCATTTGCTTCGCGCATTCGAAATTTGTTTCCGTAAATTTTGATTCCGAATCCGTATTCGAATTTACAGATTGATTCCGGAATATCCGGATCCTTTAAATATTCGGATTCAACGGATATTTGGATACGTATTCTTACATCACTAGTGTGAATGTATTCAACAAGTGATTTTTTTTATATTCTGTGGATTAATGGCTTCCAACTAACGCGTGCCGGTTTCTGTTTGAATTAGTTACAATTATAGTGCAATATATTAAGTAAGTACTTGCATCTTTTTTAATAACCTGCTTTTATCTATTCTCATGCATTTTAATTGGTAGATTGAGAGTAAAAAAATATACTAACAAAAAATGGCCGCCTTAAGTTTTTATTTTCATTAGTTTATTTTATATTTTACATACCTATAGGTATGTATGTATACATTAAGAACACTTTTTATCGGTTTAATAATTGTCTTACACTTTTTATCACTTCAATAATTACGAACACTTTTTATCGGTTCAATAATTGTCTTACTTACCTATTTTTTTTACAGCTACAAAAAGCCTGTGACCTGGTTGAGAGGAAAATCAAGAATTAGAATTTAGGTATTAAGGAATTTATCTGGTAGACTGTCTGACCTAATAACGAAAGAGCAGCAATGTCCAGCCGTAAAGAGGTGGGTTGTATTTTTTTGGTTTCATCTTTTGTACAGTTGATTTTTGGCATCACATATAGGATTTTATTATAATATTATAATTTACTTGAATAATTAGTGTCAGATGGTGTATTTATGCAGATTAACATTAAAATTAACATTAAAAAGTTAAAATGAATGTAATACTATCGAAGCATTTATGCAACACATTAACATTAACCCCATTATACCCTCCTATTGCTTAAATTAATCTTAAAGTTAATGTTAATTTGTTCTGCATAAATCCACCATGACAGTTTTAAATTTATTTTTTTTAAACAACCTTAAAATAATTATATTTTTAATATTTATAAATTAGGTTTATAATTTTTAATATTTTTAATTAGGTTATGTTGATTTAATCAAAATTGGAATAAATTTTTGAATTGGCGAGAATAATATTAAAATATCTTTTCAACCCATGTCAAGTTGGCATTACACATTGTAGAAACATAAAAAAATCTATTTGCATAATTTGTAGCTTTTTTGAAGCTAAGTTGTTACAAAAGAAAAAAATTGTAGCTCCAATATTTATTGAAAAAAGGTATTTAATGCTTTAACTTGACACATTAAATAAAACAAAATATTAGTTTATTTATTATAATAAATTAGCTACTATAGTAGCTAATTCGTTATTAAAGTACAACGTTTATAGCTTCAACCTTTTCTGGAAAAAGATACCTATATATACCTATGTACATATTACATATAATGCATTACATGTATGTAATATGGCTTAAAAATAAAGCTTTTAATCTGGTTTTTAATTTTAAAAAATAAAACAATTTTAACTTAAAAAAAACTGCATTATTTCAAATAATTAATTTGTAGCTAATTGTAGTTTTATTATTTAATGCAATGCTAACTTTATGCGTGATTTTTTTTAAATAGGTATTGATTTTAAACAAAATATAATAATAAAAATTATTAATTAACTTAGGTAAGTAGGTACTTTCAAATTAATTTTTTATAAATTTTATATATAAGCTGGTGTTTTTGTTTTAAGACATTTAATCTGCATTTGCCAAATTAAAACTTTGACTACAGTGGCCCATTGACATCAATTGCCCATTCGCAATTACATACCTATTTGTTCTTTAATATGTTTTTGTAACAATTAATTTAAAATTTACAATTTAGTCGTTAAAATTATTTTGCGTCAAATTTGTGAATTTTCTTTTATTCCAATTACAACACGTTATTAACTTAGCCGAAACGTTGATTATTTTAGGATATAGTAAGACGTAAGAGGAAAACCGCCCCTTACACCAAGCATCATTTAAGAAGACTAATTAGAGAACAAAAACACAAAGTTAATATGTCAGTTAGGCCAGTTGAAAATTTAGACACTGAAAACGTTTCACATCCTTTGTTGCAAAATAATGATTCCAGTTCACCCCATAATCTCAGCGTTGAGCAATTACATGATATTGAGCCAGCAACAATGCAGTCTGCTCAATGTAAATACGACCATTGTGAAATTTCAGATGATTCAGATCATACTAATAATAGAGGTGCCAATATGAAGGTTTCACTAGCAAAATGGGTCATTCGTTACAATATATCACATACGGCTTGCAATGATTTATTAAAAATCTTAAATGATACTAATAGTTTTCAACTTCCAAAAGACTGCAGAACCTTGGTGAAAACATCAGTTCCCAAAAATAAATTTATTACTATAGATTCTGGCAGTTATTACCATTTTGGTTTAGAACAGGGTTTAGATTATATTCTTAACGGCACCAAATTTTTATTTGAAGATGACGTGATAAAAATTGACCTTAACTGCGATGGTCTTCCATTGTTTAAATCTAGCCGAGGTGAATTTTGGCCTTTGCTTGCTAGTATAAATCATGATACATTTCATCAAAAAGTATTTTGCATTGGAATATTTTATGGATCGACTAAGCCAGGAAATGCCTTAGACTTATTTGAGCCTTTTTTGAACGAATTTCGGTTACTTAATGATTTGGGGTTCCAATACAAGGGTAGGACATTAAAAATTGAAGTATCGAAAATGTTGTGTGACGCTCCGGCTAAATCGTATGTACTCGGTGTTAAAGGACATAATGCTTCTGTAGGATGTACTAAATGTACCACGGAAGGAACATTTATCGCAAATAGAATGACCTTTCCAGATTTAAATGCTCGAAGTCGAACTCATCAGGATTTCATCAACAACGTTTACGAGGACTATCATAAGTCGACCTCGCCTGTATTAAGAATGGATGTAACTGATATAATAAAACAAGTCCCATTAGACTATATGCATGTAGTTTGTATAGGTGTAACAAAAAAACTTCTGAGGTTTTGGGTTAAAGGAAATATTACAGTTAGGTTACTAGAAGAGGATGTCAAAAAAATTAATTTGGATATAAACAGTTTGAGATCAAACATACCAAAAGAATTTTGCAGGTTACCTAGAAGCATACTAGAAATAGATCATTGGAAAGCTACTGAATTAAGATTATTACTTTTATATATTGGTCCTTTAATTTTAAAAAATAGATTGAAACAACAGTTTTATACACATTTTTTAGCGTTACACGTAGGCATTCGGATTTTATGCACACCTTCATTATGCATAGCAAAGAATGCATATGCTAAAAAGCTCTTAAAATATTTTATAAATAATTATGGTGACCTTTATGGTCATGAGCACATTACTTACAATGTCCATAATTTAGTTCATCTTCCAGATGATGTGCTTTGCCACGGACCCTTGGACAGCTTTAGCTGTTTTAAATACGAAAACTATATGCATTGTATAAAGTTAAAAATTAAAACTTGTCAGAAACCCTTACAACAAATTGTAAATAGAATTAATGAAGAACGCGAGTTCTTAAGTCATGAAAACCTTGATGAAAAACCATTCAAATTAAAGATAACAAATGGTTTTATTACTATTAACAACATTACGCATACCTCATTTAAGAAGATAATTTATAAAGATTACCTCTTTGAGGCGTCAGAAAGAAATGGATTTGTCTTGCTTAAAAATAAGAGATTTGCTTTGATTACGGGTATCTTCGAAAATAATAAAAGCAAAAATTTTTTCTTCAATTGCGTTATATATCAGTCTTACAATAATCTATATGAAACTCCTTGCAGTTCCAAAATATTTGATATATATATGGTTAAGAGAACCGATGTCAAAGAAATCATTCCATTTGAGCAGGTACAAGCAAAGTGCTTGTTGATATCTAATAAATTTGTGATCCCTCTTCTTTCAAATCTCAAATGACATAATCTTCTTGAAATGTGTTTTATTAAGGTAATTATTAATGTAAACAATAATATGTATTTTCGATGTTTTTTTAGGTAAACTTTTACGTAATTAAATTTCTGTTAGACAACGCTATTGCGATTGTTCCAAAGGACTGGATTATTAAAAATAATAACCAAATAAAATGTTACTGGCCTCGACTCTATAGTCAACAATTAGTTTCAAAAGGTCAGCCCCCACAAAAAAACTGGTCTGTGTATGAAACTAAAATTTTAAGTCATTGTGGTAAGTCATAAAACTGCATTTGGCGAATTTGTCCATTTTGCATTTTATTCAGTTGAATTTTTTTGATTCAATCTAAATAAGGCTAATATAGAAAATCTCTTTAATAGAAACTTACCAAGAAGCAGTGGAAGAAGAATCTACTCAACTTAAGGCCGAATCCACGGATAATGATGACGCACGATCGGTTGGCCAAGGGATAAACGTCAACCAAAGAAGAAGACGCACAAAGAATAAGAAATATATGGACTATCAAATAGAAACTCCACCTCGTTTTTCTGACGAAGATTCCGATGATGATAATACACTTTCAATTGTCGAATCTAACAATAACAACCCAGAAAGCACAAGTTCGACTAATTCCAATGGTAATTGACTAATTGACTAATGCGAAAGGATTACTTATCTATTTAAAATTCTAGATCAAACTGGGTTTAACAGCACGGTTTCAAATAACCTAATAGAAACATTTCCAGATCCTTTGGACAATTTCCAAAATACTTCTGCAGATGATCAATTAATTACCTCGGAGACACCAGTTATTGTGGAAGCGCTAGTTGATAATTGTAATAAAAACTAATTTAGATATTGTATATTAATTATATTTTTGTAGTTCAAGGCAAGGTTATTGAGTACCTTATTGATATTCAAGCACGTCAGAAGGTTATATTGGACAGATTAAATCGACTAGAAATGAACCAGGTGAATAGACTTGAAACAACTATTGATGACTTTAGCAAGTTACCTGTATTACCCTGCAGAAGCCTTCAAAATATTGAGGACCTTGACCAGCTAATAATGGATCCAAATGTTTTCAAGCAACTTGTATGTTTTTTTAAATCTGTCATTTTTGAAGAATATGTAGCCTAAAAATGTATTTTTGTGTTACAGAAAGTTAAGCTATCTCTGATTGGCGGATATAATAAGAGAAACTGTATTAAACGCTGTTTGGCTCTGGTCTGGACAAACAAATTATCCCAATGTTGCAGCTGGACAGGAAAAAACAATAATTATAAGGTCAAAGAGTTAAAAATCATGGAATGTCTTAAAGGTAAATTTGTTTCAGTTTAAAAATATATTTAAGCTTTACTTTTTTAGCCGCGGCAAAAGTCCGTTTTCCCGACATGACTGACCGGGAATTCGAGGAAACCGTAATGGAATGGTTTAGGCATGGAAAACAAAGACATTTAAGAGATAATGTCGCAGTTGCCGCTTTAAAAGAATAAAAATCCAACTGTAAAAAATGAGAAAAACGTTTTATTTTTAGTATTTTTTTTCTTTAAACTACCGGTTTAGTCAAAGTCTGGTCCTTTTTTAAATCCTTAATAAAATACGCTTAAGTTATTAGTATAGTATTATTTTTTTTTGTTACAGATTATTATTTTGTATGTAAACATTTTTATTTTGAAATATAGTTTTCTATCAAAACTGGTATTAGCTTTATTTTCTTGAAGGCTGTTTTTAAATTACACTTAATTTATAGATGTATATACATAAATAAAAGCTTGCTTTTCTGTAAGTCTCTACCTTATAGATGTTTACTTTCCCAAAGCTAAAATCTAACATTTTTTTTCAAAACTCAAATGTCGAATTTCTACAAGCAAATTGTTACATTTCTTACAGTAATGATTTATCGGCACTTGTGTTGAAGTAAGTATAATTATTGCTTGATTTTTTCGAGAAAACCTATATCTCACCACAGGTAAGATAAATAATTACAATATACTGCGAAACAATATTAATTATAGCGGCCTATTTAACTAACGTGTTTGAACGCCTTTTGAAAAACATAACTGCTGTCACAATCATAGTGCCCAAAACATAAGAATCTGCACTTTTTTCTTTTAAAACGTATGTTCTGAGTTTAACATTGCTGTTACAATTAACAACATAATGCAAACGTTCGGGCTGTCTCAAATTGGGTGTCTTCTATATATACCATGGTATCTTGATAAATATAAAAGAATAAAAAACGGATCACATACTCTTGTAAGTTTAATTGTTTAAAAGATAAATTTTGTTTAAAACAGTTTTTATTCTATCCTCAAAAACGACGAAGATATAAAAAATGTTAAATTAACAAAAATTAACTTTGAGCAATATAATGAAAACCAAGGAATTTATCAAATTTTTCTATTATATATATACCTATATATATATATTAGGGTGGTCCTTAGCTATAGAGGTAAAAGATATACTTGAAAGAAAGAAAGAAAATACGTTTATTTTGAAAAATCCAGAGAGTGCACGTTAACACTCTATACGGATTCATCCTCTCACAACAATACAACAAAAATATACAAACAATAAAAAATAAAAATATAAAAGTAGTAGTAGTAGATATTCATTTCACATTTCGTCATGTTTTAAAAGCTTAAGCTAGTTTCTATACTATAGATAGGTACATTACATGTTTGATAATGCAAGGACGGAAAAGAGAATAAAAATAAAATAAAATGACAATACCCGTTGAAACACCCTAGCTTGGAAGTCTAACCCGAGGCGTCCCCCAAAGCCCGAACAACAACCATCAGTGCGGTCTGAGCATAGACCACACTGGTGACCATTACAGCTCAGACTCCAAAAGATATCTCAAGTCAGACTCCAGAAAACATCTCAAACCAGACGTAAAACCCCTAATGTGTTTGTTTCTGATTTCAATAGGCAACGCATTGTAAATTTTGACACCATTATGATATATGCAACCTTTACCTCTCATTGATAAAACCCTTTCTAGGTTTACATCAGACTTATGACGTGTGTTATGGTCATGGTAGTCGTTGCGAAATTTTAATGAAATATTGGAATGGCGAGTATTAAGATTAACTTGGTGTATATAAACAGATACCTGGTATTTATAGATGTTTTCAAGAGGCATAACATTATAGTTTACAAAAAGAGCTTTTGTGCTGTATCTAATTGGGAGGTTGTATATATTTTTTATCGCCCTATTTTGCAAGATTTGAATAGGCACAATAAGGCCTTTACGTGCAGGATACCACAGTGCAGTCAAATACTGAAGGTGACAATGGACAAGCGAAAAATACACAGACCGAAGTAGTTGTGCTGGCAACATAAAACTTAGTCGCTTCAACACTCCCACCGGCGCAAGTAGTCGTTGTCTTAATTTTAATAAGTGCTTTTCCCAGGAAAGGTTTTCATCAATGTAGAGGCCCAAGTATTTTATTACATTAGAATATTGTAGATTGTCATTTCCAAACAAAATAGGCAATTGATCAATGGGCTTATAGTGGCTATGAATAAACATATATGATGATTTTTTTACATTGAGTGATAATTTATGAGTTATAAGCCAGTTATGTATTATTTCCAAATCAGTTCTTATTTTTTGTCTAATGACATCTAAAGATTTATCATAATACACAAGCATGGTATCATCTGCATATAGTTTTATTTCACCTAGCAAATTAAGGTTAGAGACAGAATTAACATAAATAAGAAATAAGGTGGGGCCCAAGATGGAGCCCTGTGGCACGCCGCATTCAATGGAAAGGCCGGAGCTTTTCACGCCATTGATATTAACAAGTTGTTTCCTTTCTGACAAATAATCCGCAAACCAATTATTGCAAACACCGCGCATACCAATGAGCTCCAACTTTTTCAACAAAATCTCGTGATTCACCGTGTCAAACGCCTTCCGTAGGTCCAGCGACACTAGTGCAGAAGCGTTTCCCTGGTCCACCTGCATCTGGACATCTGATATAAGATCGATGGTTGCTGATGCAGTGTCGCTGGACTCACGGAAGCCGTATTGACCCTTGTAAAAGAAATCCCGTTGATTTAAATAGTTAATTAGCCTTTTGTTTACAATCATCTCAAATATTTTGGAAAATACTGAAAGAATGGATATGGGTCGATAATTATTAGCCTTGTCCTTATCACTGTCTTTATATAGAGGGGTTACTCTTGCTATTTTTAGTTTTTCGGGTACTTTACCAGAGCACAATGATTGATTAATAATTTTACAAAGAATTGGTACCAAATTATCTTTACACTGTTTAAGAGACCGCACATTCACTCCGTCACTTCCAGTTGCCTTAGACACATCTAGCTTCTTGATCAGATAGTCAATCTCCTTTTCTGTTGCTGGCACAAAGAACATGGTCTCATTGTAGCAGGTTTCACCTTGTACATTCAGGGGAATATTGGGTAGTTTACTAGAGAGTTCACTGCCAATACTCACGAAGTATGAATTCATATGTTGACATATGTTCTTCACATCTCTTAATATCTCACCATCATCTTTCTTTAACGAGCCAATTTCATTGCTTGTGCAATGTTTGTTTTGATTTGTTAAGATTTGATTTACAACCCTCCAAGTTTTTTTGGGGTTTCCATGAGCTTCATCAAACATCCTCTCAAAGTATGTCTTTTTGGCTTCTTTGGATAATTGTTTAACTTTTTTATCTGCCTGTTTGTATTTATCTCTATAGCTAGTACTTTCTGGAAAGCATTTATATTTTTTATAGTAAAAATCCCTAGTTTTCATTGTGATCTGTAGCTGACCGTTATTATCCACAAACCATGGTTTGCTTAGTATTTTAACAGTTTTAGTAGTGTACTTGGTGTTTCTTACAAAGCAGTTTAATAACTCATTGTAATTTTCATCAACACTATTGGTTTCAAGAAAATTTCTATTAAAGTGTTTTAGAGCATCATCAATGGCATCATAATCCACATATTTTTTTGTGTATGTTTTATACTTATTGAGTGGGACTGCAGAGCTTTTTATGGCTAGGATTTGGATGTCGTGGTCACTTAGTGAATTATCTATTATTGCTAAAGACATTATTAGGTTTGAATTGGTGACAACGTGGTCAATGAGGGTTTTATAATTTCTTGTGGGAATATGTTCATTGTAGAAGGTTAGGCCATTTCCCATACAGACCTCCTTGTATGAGTGTGTCTCAGGACAGTCGGTCAGGAGATCTATGTTGAGATCCCCAATTAGAATTAACTGATTGGATCTTAATTGGGAGAGTTCTTCATCCAGAAGTTGAGTTGTGCGTGAAACCATGTCCCTTGTTCCCCTTGGATTGTAGATTGCAGCTATATATTGGTTAATTTGAGGCAACTGGACTAGTAAATATGATATTCCATCTCTTTCTAAGTTTTTTACTACTCTGTGTTTGATATGACTTTTCAAAAAAATAGCACAGCCTCCACCACGTTGAGTTCTACTGGCATACACTGATGTATAGTTAGGGATATTATAATACTGTTGTTCACCTTCAGAAATCCATGTCTCCGTTACCACAAGTACAGATACCTCCACACTAAGTTTGGATATAAGAACCTCTATTTCATCCATTTTATTACGAAGAGATCTTGCATTCAGGTATAAGACATGCATAAGGGGTTTACTTGATTCATTTGAGAGTGATATGCTTTCATTAAATTCTGTCATGTTATCATAATATTGCGCCATTTTGCTGAGGAAAACAATATCATATCTCAAATTATGTTATTCTTTACTACGTGGAGTAGTATTCATTGTCTTGTTTGCTTTCATTCTGCTTATCACTTTTATGTTTTAATTTATCAATTTGCTCATTGCTACAAATTCTTATTACTTGAGAAGTGGCATTCTTCCTACAAAAAACTTTATTATTATTACACCACACATAGTCGTAGCCACATTTTTTGAGTTCTCGTGCTTTGTAGAAAATGTCACGGGTGTCTTTAGGTATATCTTCATTAATGAAGATTTTTCTCTTCTCCCCAGTAAGTCCCAACGTGGTTGAATCAAGGATTCCTCTTTTTTTTCTGGCCAGTAGAATCTCTTCTTTTTTTTCTTTGGATTTGAGACTAATGATGATTGGCTTGAGCGGATTTTTGCTTGGAATTCTTTTTGCCTTAAATTCACTTTCATCTACTTCCACATTCAAACCATTAAATATTTTTTTAATTTCACTTACTTCCGGAGCTTCAGGCCCTATGCCCATCACCACTAAATTCCTTTGTCTATAATCGTCACCTCCTTCATTTCTTTTGATTTTTGCCAACTCATCCTTTAAATATTTGATGTCTGACCTGACCTTTTCTTGTTCTTTTTTCATTTGTTTGCTCTCCTTGAGCATTATTTCAATAGATTTTTGGTATTCATCCATAGTATTGCTGTTAAATATCACTGATTTTTCCAACTCGTCAAACTTTTTAGTAAGGATCTGTAGTAGGTCGTTGTTTGTTAAAATTTGTGTGTTAGTTGATCGTTTTTTTTTGTTGCTTTTCCGTAGATGGCTAGAGTCATCCGACTCACTATTAGATGATGTTTCTCTCCTCTTTTCATGTACTAACAACGATTTTCTTACATCTTTCATGCATGATGGACAAATCCAGTGAATTTCTTCAT